AACCTTGATAGATGGTCAGCTACTTGGTTCTCTGTCCCCTTCCGATCTCGTATTTCTACATCAAATTCTTGCAGCAATAAAACCCAGCGCATCAATCTAGCCTTAGATTCTTTTTTTGTAAACAAATACCTGATTGCTGCATGATCCGTATGGACTATGACTTTCGTTCCCACCAAGTATGCTCGGAATTTCTCAAAGGCCCACACAACAGCTAGCAACTCCTTCTCAGCGGTGGTATAATTCAGCTGTGCATCATCAAGAGTCTTACTCGCATAGTAGATGGAATAAAACACCTTGTCCTTCCTCTGGCCTAGCACTGCCCCAATAGCAAGGTCACTCGCATCACACATAAGTTCAAATGGTAAAGACCAATCAGGTGCCACAATAATGGGAGCAGTACCAACTTCTTTTTAAGTTCCTCAAATGCGTTGAGGCAGGCATCATCAAAATTGAAAGTTACATCTTTTTCAAGCAGCCTGCACAAAGGAGTAGCAATTTTTGAAAAATCTTTAATAAAGCGCTGATAGAAACCCGCGTGTCCCAAGAAACTCCGGACACCCTTCACTGAGATAGGTGGAGGTAATTTTGCAACTACCTCCACCTTCGCTTTATCAACTTCAATGCCGCTTCTAGATACTCTGTGACCCAACACGATGCCTTCTTGTACCATAAAATGGCACTTTTCCCAATTTAGTACCAGATTTGTTTATTCACAACGGGCTAGCACCTTGCTTAAATTCCTCAAGCAATCATCATAAGAAGACCCAAAAACTGAAAAATCATCCATAAGCACTTCCACAAATTTTTCCACCATGTCCGTGAAAATAGCCATCATACACCTCTGGAAAGTGGCTGGTGCAAAGACCAAACGGCATTCGCTTGAAGGCAAAAGTGCCATAAGGACAAGTAAAAGTAGTCTTCTCCTGATCCTCTAGGCATATCACAATCTGATTGTATCCTGAATAACCATCAAGGAAGCATTAATATTCATGCCCGGCTAACCTGTCTAGCATTTGGTCGATGAATGGGAGTGGGAAGTGATCCTTGCGAGTTGCCTTATTGAGCCTTCTATAATCAATGCAGACTCTCCATCCCGTAACAGTGCGAGTGGGGATTAGCTCATTCTTCTCGTTCTCAACTACAGTCATTCCTCCGTTTTTGGGCACACATTGAACCAGGCTTACCCAGTTGCTATCAGAAATAGGAAAAATGATACCTGCATCGAGCAACTTGATTACTTCCTTTTTCACCACCTCTTTCATAATGGGATTTAATCTCCTTTGCTGCTCTACACTGGGGCGGTGTCCATCCTCTAAAAAGATTTTATGCATGCAAAATGATGGACTAATACCCTTGATGTCAGCTATTGTCCACCCAATGGCCTTTTTATGCTCGTGGAGAACTCTGAGCAATTTTTCTTCTTGAGTGCTGGTCAAGCTGGACGAAATAATCACGGGCAGTGTCTCTGAGTTCCCCAAATAAGCATAGCGCAGATGTGCTGGAAGTGGCTTGAGTTCTAGCTTTGGAGCTACTTCAATAGATGGCCTGGGGAGGGTCAGAGTGACAGGCCTGTCCAACTCTTCAAATTTTCTAACACCATGTACATAACTGCAGGACATATCCAGCACTTGCTCAATTTCTCCTAACCTTTCATCTGCACTATCTTCTACGTCCCTAATCAATACTCGTTCAGCAGGATCTTCAGGGCTCATATAGGGTACTAACGATGTGGCCTCACTTTCCACCACAGAGATCATGGATAACTCTTCGTAATGGGCTGGTAACTTGAGTGCTCTATACACATTGAATACCTCCACTCGATCACCCACTCTCATTGTCATCTTTCCTTCGCAGACATCAATAATAGCTCGGCCCATGGCTAAGAATGGACGCCCCAAAATAAATGGGACTTCCTGATCAGGCTCGTAATCCATGATGATGAAATCAGCTGGGAATATGAAAGACCCCACTTGAACTAGCACATCTTCAATCACTCCCTCAAGATGAGCAAGGGAGCGATCAGCTAACTATAAGATAACTGTTGTTGGGTGTGGTTCACCCAACCCCAACTGTCTGAATATAGATAGCGGCATCAAATTGATGCTTGCTCCAAGGTCACATAAAGCTCGCCCAACAGCATGTTTACCAATCGAGATTTGGATAGTAAAACTACCTGGATCCTTCAATTTCTGGGGTAACTTGCCTTGAATTCTGGAACTGCACTCCTCAGTGAGTGCCACAGTCTCGAACTCGGTCAGCTTTCTTTTATTCGCCACAATGTCGTTGATGTACTTTGCATATTTGGGTACTTCTTGTAAGATGTCAACCAATGGAATATTAATTTGTACCTGCTTCAAGATATCAAGAAACTTTTTATATGCGGCATTATCTCTTAATTTCTGCAGTCTTTGAGGGAATGGAGGTGGTGGCCTTGCAACCAATTGTGGGGGTTGCTCAGCCACCGCCTCTCCAGTTGGCTTCTCTGGCTCCTTAGCTTTCTCCGATGTTGATTCAATAGTGGTTGGCTTCTCATTAAAAGTCACCTGTTTCCTCTTTTTAGACAGAACTTCCTCTAGTTATCTCCTATTCCTCAACGACACGGCATTAAGGGCCGCCTAGGATTTGCTTCAGTGTCACTTGGAAGAGCTCCGGCAGGTCTAGTGTTTTGAGCACTTGCACGCTGTCCCATTTGACGCTCCAAATTTCTCACTGTTGTGGCGAGGGCTTGGTGTTCAGCCATCATTTTTTTAAACATGTCTTCAAGGTGACTTTTGGGACTTGCTTGTTGTTCAACCTGAGGTGGTCTATACTCCTGTTGAGGTACTTGAGGCCTGTATTGATTCTGAGTGCCCTGGTTTCCACCCCAAGAGAAGTTTGGGTGGTTCCTCCAGTTGGGATTGTAAGTGTTCCCATATTGATTTGTTTGGCCCCTATTTGAATTACCCACAAAGCAGACAGACTCTGGGTTTGCGGGGCATATGTCGCTCGTGTGCCCCTCTCCACATATTTCACAAAAAGCTTGAACTTGTTGTACTGGTTGTACTTGTTGCTTGTTGATACTCAAGTTCATCTGATTAACTTGATTGGTCAGTGTAGCAATCTGTGCTGATAATGCTGAGACGACATCTAACTCAAGAACCCCTGCAGACTTTTGCACTGTGTGTCTGCCGATCTCTCCTTGCCAATCCGGATTGCTCTTGGAGAATTTGTTCAATAATGCATATATCTCGTCAAAGATTTTCTCCAACACTTGACCCCCAGCTGCAGCATCTACCACGATCTTTGTTTCAGAATGTAGCCTTTCTATGGAAGTGTAAGCTAACACTTCATTCGTCTAATTGTGATGAGGACAGTCTCTGAGGAGCCCCTTGAACCTTTCCCAAGACGAGTATAAAGATTCTCCCGCTTTCTGTTTGAAGGCAACTATCTCACTTCTGATCTTTGCACTTTTGCCTGAAGGGAAGAACCTTGCTAGAAATTTTCTCCCCAAATCATTCCATGTTGTAATGGAATTAGCTGGTTCTGCCTTTAGCCATCGCTTAGCCTCGTCCAACAGAGAGAATGGAAAAAGTGTGAGCCTCACATAATCTGGAGTGACCCCGGTAGTGATATAAGTATCACTAATCTACAAGAAGTTCAGAATATGCTGCTGTGGATCCTCGTGTGGAAGACCCATAAATTGCCCGTTTGCATGAAGCAGCTGGATCATGCTCTGTTTCAGCTCAAAGTGCCCAGTGATCCTGGGCTTCACTATACTGGAGGTGACATTAGCAATGCTGGGCATCGCCACATCCTGAACAGCCATGGGTTGCTCCTCTGCCACGTCCACGGGAAATTGAACAAGTGCCTGAATATTATTCGTGTCTCTTGCTTCCCTCAACCTCCTGGGAAATGTTCTCTCAGGTTCGGGATCAAAGCCTTGAAGTCGGTCCTGGCTTCTGACCCTACGCATTCAATCAAAGTTCCTGAGATCTGAGCAACAATCAAGTAACGTTAGACTAGACGAAATAAACAAAGAAAGCAAAAACTAGCAAGTAGTTAATATTCAAGTCCCCGGCAACGGCGCCAAAAACTTGTTGCTCCCAAACACACACGCAAGTATACGTGGTCGACAAGTAATATAATGACAAGTTGAGTGTCGAACCCACAGCGACTTGTGTAAACTACTCACTAAATCGCTAAAATTGTTATTCAATCCAGCTAAAACCAAAGTCTGAAAATATGATTATACTATACTACGATTCTAAATAATAACTAAATTATCAAATAACAAGTTGATTGTTGTGTATTCAGTAGAGACAAGTATTCCAGGGTTGTGATCGATTCACCAATCGTATTGTGTTCTAATTAACTCTCCCTTTCATATAATTCACTCATGGTTGCTAATTAATCGATAAATGCTCAGCCTTCTCCCGAAGTACTACTCACCTATTCTCAATAGATTAACGCCTGTATTCCTATGAAATCAATCTATTAAGAACGCATTAAGATCACGATATTTAATTATGCACGGTGACTAGGTATATTCCTATCCTAGCCACAAATCCACTTCCCCTAAGGGTTAAGATCATGCTCTCTTCAATTCTTCTTTAATCTAAACACGGCTTTCCCAAGCATAGCATAGATAGTAAATAGAACCTAACTGCTGGCCAGACAATTAAGCAATTAAACACAGAATTGAAGAAACAACCATATGTTGGTGAATTATAATCACGGTTAAGTTAATATCAAACAACAATATTCATGGCTAAATCACAACCCCAGAACAATGGGTGTTTAGCCACTCATAATGTAATCAAACAATTGCATAAGTTTTGATTAATTGAAAATACTGGAAAAGATGAAGCATTCCGGGTTGTTCTTGCTCCTCAAAGTTTCTTGCATGTATCTTTGCTCCCAAGTGCGTCTCTCCCTTCAAAATAGGTTTTAGGATGGCTTTTATACGTGTTGGATAGGTTTAGGGCCGACTAAATCGAGTCTCGGGCAAACTAAGACAAAATTTCACGTAACCGGCACCCAGCCCGGCGCCAGGCGCCCTCCATAGCGCCCAAAAGTATTTCATACTGTTTTCTGCGCCACAGGTGGCGCCAGGCGCTGCCTGTGGCGCCCAACTGGCTTCTTTTCCGATTTTGTCCGTTTTAGCTTCAATTCTTGCACGTTTTGCCCCCACTTGCTCCCGAATCATTCCTACATGTAAAAACACTTCAAATTAATATAATTCAAAGCATTTGACATCCCAAATTCACGAAAAAAGAAAAAAATATGAGGCGATATACATAGAAATATATATACTTTAAGCCAAACATCATTTGTATAGAATCCACATGGTAGCATCAAAGACTAGTAGAAAGGGCCTGAGGAACAAGTGCGACCATCCCCTTCTCGTTAATGTTAGCTAAAATTATTCTATTCAATATCTTTTTGGCACCAAACTTAGCAGCCATGTCCACCTATTCAGTTGTCACCACTTCGCTCCCCCTCTTCCTTTTTCTTTTTGTTTCATGCATCACATTCTTAGGAACATTAAGAGTTTCCCTTTTCTTTGCAGCCTTCTCCCTTTAGAAGGAGTACAAATCTCATCATCATCATCATTTTCCTCAACTACTATTTCAAAAATCACATATGTACCCCTGCCTTTCTTACTTCTCTTTGCAACTTGAGTCATCTTTTCTTCATCTACTTTCCTTTTGCTCATAGTCAAAAGAGTTCTTCCCTGAGGCTGAGTGGGTTTGGAAGCAACTTTCCGAACCTTTGTTCTTTTAGCAATATCAACAGAACTAGATTTTTCTCTTCATGTCACAACAAAAAATCCCACCAATGGTCGTGATGGTGCTTCAATAAGAAAGTTTTAAAATAACATCATGAACTCATAGCCCAGACAGAAACCAAAATACCACAACTATCTCACAAATCGTTCAAAACCTCGGTGTCACATTATCACAAGCGTCTGTCAAGAGTAAATAATCTCAACTGAACAACAACATCTACCCGAAATGGAAAATACATAGACAGAGATAGATAAGTAGGAAAAAAAGACTCCACGTGCTGCAGATCGGATCAAGTAAAGCAGATCATCACGAAGTTTCCAAATAGGCTCCTAAATAGCTGGATGAACACCACTACTAGCTTGATATAATATAAGGGTCTACTAAACTCTATAGAGAATCAGGTCCAACAGTACATACACACACAACAGTGATTAAATGGCAAGAGGAATTTTACGTGGAAAATTCCCACCTCAACGGGAATAAAAACCACGACCTACCCTTGTAGGATTTCTACTTCACTACTGAGCAACTTTTAGATTACAACCTATGCAACCTATAAATTAACCTCTTAATCCTTCACTAACTTGCAATACTCTATTACAAGCCACTTTGTAGTAACTCTATTACAAAGACTTTACAACATGACTAACTCTAGCGAAGACCCAAACACACTGGTTTAAGGTTTACAAATGGGTTCATATGGAATGCTTCTAAACAAGCTAGATAGGAATTACAATTAAAGAACTATTAAAAAGTTACAACTCAACTAAGGATATACAATTCCGTAGTTGTTTTGTTAATTGTTCTTGAAGCACTTGAAACTTGCTTACTGGATAGTCACGTTGAAAGAGCTTGTCAAGTGTTCAAGTAATTTGTTTTACCTCCCTTGCATACATATATACATGTGTGACATCACTTACAATGATGCAAGCAAGGTAGGTGAAAAGTATTCCCAGGAAGGTTGACTACAACACTGTTCTGCACAGTAGCATGTGCAGGCAGCAACTTTTCACTTGGAAAGTTGACTTCGTGCAGTCTCCTCGGGAACCGGTAGGGACCTGGTCCCTCAGTTGTTCCTTCCAGTTCTGAAGAGTTGAATCATGTTCCTGGCTGAATCCCATCCTAGGATCTTGTGATCTTGGTGTGCAACATGTTCCTTATCCTGTTCTGGATGGTAAGTTTGTTAGATCATCAAAACAAAAAGTAAAGTACTTATAACCTATCAATTTCCCCCTTTTGTAAGATGACAAACTTATAATCCTAGATAGAGCCAGAAAGACTTTAACTTCACCCTGATGCTCTACATTCCCCCTTAATTAGTGCAATTTATTTTTCCCTCTTTTGGCATCATTAAAAGATCAGAATCAGTGAAGCAAGAAAGAAGTATAGTTATAAGTTAACTCATGCCACATATGTGCATACAATCATGATAAAGAACAGAGCATAAAAACACAGTACAAACAGCAATAAGGGAAAAGCTTGCATTAACAAAGTTTTGGATTTTATAGTAGGAGTAGAATTAATGTTACTACCACATCCACAGAGTAGAACAAACAAACAAAAGTACCACAAGATATCATCAGAAGAGCTGACACGGAGAGACTGGACACTGAAGGGACAGAATCTAAGAGGCATTGGGAGGAGAAGGTTTGGAAGCAGAGGAAATTTTTTGGAGGACTAGATCCATACGAGTATTTGCGCACATTTGCTCATTCAGCAGTCTTTCTTTTTCAGGTCCTCCACTTGTTTCCTGAGATCAGTGTTCTCCTTAGTCAGGCAAGCAACTTCTTCGTTTTGAGAAAGACTGGAACCAGGTGCCTCTTGCAGCTGACTTATCTGAGTCTCAAGGATAGCATTCCTTGCTTTCAATTGCCTTATCTCAGTAGTAGCACTGTTTTGAGCATTGATCAACTGAGAAATAGTTGAAGTGTTTGCAACCCCTCAAAATTTTTCTATACACTCACATTCTTTA